GTTGACATGACGGCAGGATCTGTTACAAAACAAATGCGATCGTCGGATCCATCCTGACCATTCCCTTGATTCACTGGCAGCAACATCTTCAAGGAATCCGCATCAGTGATGCCCCAGTGGTGCGGAAGGTTCGAACAGAACCGGATACTGCGCGCTTTTTTGGTGCGCTTGTTCGTCTGGTTCATGACCTGAAAATCATAGTCGTATGCTATACCGTCTATCGTCATCTCACATGTCTGTTGGCCTTCCTGAAACTTGAGCATGAGCTCTTTGTTGGCTTTGTCCTGGAATCTGAAAATGAACAACACAACCTGCTTAATATGTATAATAATGTACAATACATAATATTATTGTAATTTGTTATATATTGTATTAGTTTGCGTTTTCTCTGAGGCAACTAAACTATACTCAATGAAATGCTGAGGAACTTGAAATTCGGCCCACTCACCACTGTTTGTCTGATACTGCCAGGTTTCTCCTTCTACTTGCGGTGGAAGATGCAAGCGCCTCACCAGGGAACAAATTTCATTCCTCATCTGCTCAATCTCTGCGCTCCGGGCGTTCTGCTGCGATTGCATCTTCCACCAGCGGTTCTGTTTCTCTAACTCCAATTGCGCTTTCAGTCCTTTGATTTCTGCATCTGACATCGCTGCTGCGATCTTCAGACGCTTGATTTCTGCATCCTTGCTCTTCTCTGACGTCGCTGCTGCGATCTTCAACCGCTCAATTTCTGCATCCTTGTTCTTCTCTGACATCGCTGCCTGCTTCAAGGATGCGATTCTAAGATTTAAGGTCGTGATGAATTCTGCCAGCTGCTCATTTCTGTTCTTGAGTGCCTCTTTCTCTGTGCTCGCACAGTCCAGCACGTATCACAAAACTGTTGAAAAGAGCAATATCATGTGTTTTGCGGCATATTTTAGATACCTTCTGAGAATTCAGACTTTTCTTGGGCTTATGTTGTTCCCTAAGTAAATGATGCCAACCTGGTAGAGGAACACTTCATGGATTGCCACCAGTTCTGTTTCAGTCATGGCCATGCCTTCTGTGTCAGATCGTGAATCTGAGATTGTAGGGATTCACGCTCCATCCTCCATTCTTGTTCCTTCGATTCCTTCCGGAAAATGCGCGACTCAAACAGTTCATCAACTCTTCGGAAAACAATGCACTGCACATTGCTAGCAAGGACAGTAACACTACAGTACATTGGAGAAAAACAAGTCTTGTTTCCTTGTTCCCTACAAGAACAGCTAAAGTGGCCGGAACATCATGGAAGGAGTCCTCCTAAAAAATTGCTAAGTGCTTCTTGGTTCCGTTTCAGCCACAGCCGCGCCTTCTGCGCCTTCAATGTGCGAATCTTAGATAGAGAGGATCCAAACCTCTTTCTCCATTCTTGTTCCTTCGATTCCTTCGGGCCATTGCTTGACTCCAGAGTTTATCAAATGTCCCGAAAACAATGCACAACACATTGCCAGCAAGGACATTCACACTACTTT